TGATAATATGTTTACTTACATTTTTACTTTAACAGTCTTAGATTCACAAAACTTACTCAAATTGAAAAATTATTAATATTGGCGGTATTAACTTTTAACAAACACAATACTTCAGGGTTGCATATATGTGTATATGTGTGTGTGTGTGTGTGTAATATCTGCGTTGTGTAGATATATATAGATTTAGGATCAAATGAGAACAATGTTTGATGTGAGAACTTGCGAACACCACATATATCCCCAATGTGACGCAAAATGGGCTCGCACAATGCACTCTTTCGTACCAAGCATAATATTTATGAAAGTGTCACAGTGATTATTTATATTAGCTTGTATTGAGCAAAGTCCAAATGTGCACTAGAAGGGCTCTATTGTGTATCAAATTGGATTAAATGTGAGTGTTCTCACGTTGTCACGTTAAACATCATTCTCATTGCGCACCACATATATTTTTAATGGATTAAAAGTATATGCAAATACGATAAATTAAAGGGAAAATCGCACTTTTCAGCCCCTGAAATTGTCACGAAAATGAGATGTCGGACCCATATTCTCAAGTTTGTAAATATCGTCTCTCAATTGTCCTAAATGCTATAAATGTGGTCCTTTGAGGGGTGAAATATACAATGTGGGCGAGAGTACATTTCACCCCTTAAAGGGTCATATTTACAACAATTTGGACAACTAAGAGCTGACATTTACAATATCAGAAATACGGGTCCGGCATTTCATTTTCGCGACTATTTCAAGGACTAAAATTGCAATTTTCCCTAAATTAAATCTATATGGGGGCACCCCGCGGGCACCCGTGGGGGACAACGAGGTGGGGTGGGGATGGGGCAGGTCTGGGAGTAACGGGGAATGGAGCGGGGACGGGGGAACTTTTTAGACATGGGGCGGGGATGGGGAAGTGTAACCCTCATGCATCACATCATTTGTTTCTCATGTTTTCATTTTCTGGGTCATCTTCATGGTCCCATTTTGTGTTTCATACGGAGTATTTAAGTCAATCATTTATTTTAGTAAAACTATTTCGCATGTTTTCATTTTCTGGGTCATCTTCATGGTCCCATATTGTGATTAATATTCAAATCCTTGCTAAAACATTTCATGAACCTTTTGGAGAAGTATTTAATTTCTTAGAAACGATTTTGCATCTTTATACTTTATTGGTGTGAAAGATTTGACATGTTTTAGTCGGCAGTGTTTTACACTAGGGTGTCTCGTTAGAACATACAAAGTTCGAATTCATCTGCTCTTTCAATCTTAATTGGATCTAATTGTTCGATCAAGGTAATAAATTCTAAACACATTAAATTTTGAAGTTTAATCATAATGATATACTACGTACTACGTAAAATGAATTAATAATCCACTTAAATTTTAAACTTTTATAGTACTCCGTATGTGAATTTGTACAAGGAAGTCGTTGCAGATGCTAAGTATGAGAGTACTATACAATTGACTTTTGACATTTAAATTAATAACTTATACGGAGTATATGCTGTTGTTGACACTTTTGTTTGTGTATCAATTCAGATTTCAGTTATGATGATGTAGCTGTATTTTTGAACTCCCGTGTTTAGTTTGGAAAATTGGTATTTTGACAGTTCATCTATGTTGTCCTCCATTTCTAAATCTTTAATTCTAATTTCTATTCCCTCAAATTCCTCAAATGCCTATCTAACTAACCACCTCTTTCAAAAAGAAAAAAAGAAAAATTACCACCTATGTGCTCCAATGATGCTGCCGATGACCTTTGACCCAAACCGCCCTGGTGACCGTCGAAAAAAGCCACCGGAAATTCGGGAAATGTATCGCGCGGAGTGTTTTCCAATTTTAAAAGTAGGAAAAAACTTGGAATTATTTCGGTTGTTACAATAAGATGCTCTATGGCGACGCTAACATCGACACTGATAGTGACATAATAAATTAAAAATGATGAGAAATTATACTTCGCATATGACAAGACTAATTAAATTAGTTGTGACATTCATGATTTTCCAATTCTATAATCTTGTTAGTCACATTTGTGTGCATGTAAAAGGTAGTCGGTTTCTTAGATTATGATTACTTAATCGTTCAACCATATCGGATTAGGTCAACTCATTAAGGTTTTAGAAATGATGTTGTTTACTTAATCAAGAGTACCAACTTAATCGTTTGGCATTAATTTATACTCCGTATTTACTTATGACTTAATTCATGAGAGCATGAGTTATTCATTTAGTCAAAAAATTGATTTGTTCATTTAGTTGTAATGTAAGAGTCATTAGGGACGGATCCAGGATTTTGAGTCACGGGGTAAAAAAATTTCATTAGTGTGGGAGTGAAAACTTTTTCACTAGTGTAGAGGGGCGAATTTTTTTTTCACTAGTGTAGCGGAGCAAATTTTTTCGCTAGTGTAGAGCTATGTGGCTATTTTTTTTATTTAATAAAATCCATTAATACATACATAACGACATTTAAATCTATTTCATTCTAAAATTTTGACAATGAAAAATAACTTTGATTTTATAATTGAAGTGTTCTAGAAACAATATTGATACATTAAAGCATAAGAAATGGCAAATCAAAGGGATTTTTTGAAAATAAAAAGGATATACGATAGTATAATATTTAATCAAATTATTTGAATATGAAAATTTTAAAAGGTATAGATCCATCAATACTTTTTAAATAATTTATGCTTTAATTTGTTTAATCACATGAATCTTATCGGAATAAATGATTAATTTTTGAATTACAATTTTTTTTTACCAACGAGGGTGTTCGTGAGTCACATGAAGTTTTCTTAATATTACAATAGTATGTATGAGATTATTATTTTTAGAATAATATTATATTGCAGATTCATATATATGGTGCATATTATATTTGTATTAATGCTAAAATAAGCTAAGTTTATTATCTATGTAATCAATTGGTTTTAGAAAGTAAGAAGTAAATCGATTTTGTAATTTAATGTTAAATGTCATCAACAAACATTTATATTGGGATTCAATTCACATGATTTAAAATTTGTTTAACCATTGCGTTTGATAATTAAACATTACAAAATAAAGAATTTTTATATAATAAGTATCCTAAGTCTTGAACAGTGAATTCTTCTATTGTTTATTTGTTTAAGTTATGCAAATTATTTTAAATGTTATATAAAATTTGAAAACTAAAAGTTAAGGGGGGCGAGTACATATATATTTAATTAAACCATAAAAATTTTATGAAATATTACATATATAATAGAAAATTTTAAAAGTCCAAGGGGGCGGTCCCCTCCCCCCTAAATCCATCCATGACAATCATCCCATCAAAACGTCTTTTTAGCCCATTATTAAATCAATTATGAAATAGATGTATATTACTCATAATAAATAATAAATAACATTATTTCATTGACTATATAATACTTTAAAATGAAAAATATATTCATTTCAGTATCTTTAGTCATATGCAAAATAAGTAGTCTCATATACAAAAATCATTTAATCCAGATCATGGTTGGACCTGATCCAGTTTTCAGATCGGGGGGTTCCGGGTTCAGTCCACCTTTTTTTGAGTATTAGGGTTGAATGCATACAATCGTCGTGATATATAAATTATGTGCATTGAACGTTTTTGATTTAAAAAGTGTTTCAAACCTTCTTGTGTTATAGTTAACTATGGCAAAAACCTTCCAAAAACAAAATAAGTTTATATTAGGTAATTAATTTTTGGAAAAAACATTTGTAAATATTGATTTACATTTTGGGGACACATTGAATTTAAGTGGGTCACCAGACACAATTATCTATGTCTCTATGAGATTACGGCACACACATACATTGTGATACAACCCGTATCTATCTATTTATTTATTTATTTATTTATTTTTAATTTAAAAATATACTACTATTTGTAATGCTTAGCTTGTAAATTTTGTCCAAAAAATGCTTGTAAATTCATTTTTTTGGCAAAGTTTTTTAATCTATTATGATATACTCCGTATTATATTTTATATATTAAAAACATCATCCTTGAACTGGAATGAAATTCAAACATGTGACCTTCTCATTGTAGTGTCACAATAATGTTATTAGACATTTCAAACCACAAGGGTCCGATTTGACCAACCACCGAAAAGATACGTGTCTATTTTTCCAGCCACTGGTAAGGAGTCAAATGTAAAAAATTGTTCCGGTTCACCAACCATCGGAAAAATCTTCCAATTCCATCTTCCTGGATCAGCGGTGGTTTAGGAGGGGGGGTCAACACCTATGATGCAGAAGAAATCAAGATTCACGATTGATGAAGAAGCCAGTACAAACCTCTTACCAGCACATGAGAACACCCGGCTGATGATGCCGGGGAAGATACATCTCGCAAGTGATACATCGTCATCGAAAATAATATCTTTAGATAACGCTAGTACATAATGTTGGAAATATGATGATAAAAATATAATTTTGAGTGGTCTCATTTTTGGGTCCTGATATGTGTAATATAAATATATGTAGTGAAAGTAGCTTATTATTATCAAAGTACAACTTTCAAATTTGGATATATTTATCTCAATTGGTGATTAGAATCCATAGTTGTAAAAGTTGTAAAGTGAATAAAATATGATGAATAATTGTCCTAAATACATGGTCTTTTGAGAAGATAGTATGTGATAAGGAATATCATTCAAGTATCATATAAGGTGATTTGAAATATTATTCCATACGCCCAATTCTGAAATGTTTTAGAAGTGTATGGAGAATATCTCAAGATTAAAAGACTATTGAATTATGGACAAGAATTCTGAAATGTTTATTATCTTATAAATGATAATAAACGGCAGCCTTAATGCTGCTTCAATTCGGACGTTTCAAAATTACATTTTGAATGGTTCAAATTAATAAGCTTGGTCAAAGGTTGTTTAAGGCTCCTTAAAAGATGGATCATGGAACAACCGTTGGTTTTCATTTTGATATGTTTATATATACATGTGTTATCATTCTGATTTTTAATGAGGAAGTGAACCCACTGCATGCTCTCTTTTTCCATCTTTACGTACAAAACTCAATCTCCTGGCCTGGGAATCATCAAGTCTTATTTTTCCTCCAAGTGCGTAGACAATCTACTCTCATCCGCACAATTTTGTGTCTTCACGGAATTTAATTTGTTTGTGTCCGAGAGCAAAAATCCATAGTTACTTTTATTGAGAGTATTCATCTTTCAAAGGCAAAGCGGGTAACGGTCGGAGGTTTCAGTCAAGGTAGCTACGAGTCTGAAACGTGGTAGGATTATCCTGGGAGCGAGCTAGCCAGACCCGTCCGAATAGCTATCGGGATACGGGGGCTATCTTTCTTCAAGGCCAGTCCGTTTTAACGGGCGATCCTGCGATAAGTTCTCTTATCTTTACTCTTTATTCATTTTAATTAATTTGTTCTGATTATTATTATTATTATTATTATTTTCTTGCATTTGGCGGTTTGTCTGGTGATTTGATTTAAACTCGGGATTTTTATCTGGTTAAACTCGCATTTCAATATCATTTTCGTCTAACAATCTTGAAGAAAGATGTTATTTCTCAACTTTTGGAAAATCCAAAATGGCAAACTTGAAAAATGCAGTTTCCGAAAATGTTGTTGTTGAGAATAATGTGGATGAAATCCCTGAAAATAATGTGTCTGTGACTAATTGTGGAGACACACTTGACTATGTTGCTACGGGCTCGCAAAGGGTTGATTTAACTGGAATGCCGGAAAAATTTTCTGGGCATTTTTTCAAGCGTTGGCAACAACGTATGAAAATTTTGTTAATCACCAAGGGCTTGCTCTCGGTAATTATGACGGTGTGTCCCCCCGTTGTTGAATCAGATCCCAAAAGTCTTGAACGCCAAGCTTTATGGCGTGAGAGGGATGAAATTGCAAAAGGCATGATTTTGTTGGGTCTCTCCAACATGTTATTTGATGTCTATTGCACCCTCCACGGCACGGCTAAGGACCTTTGGGATGAGTTGGATAAGAAATATAATACTGAGGACCACGGTCTTGAAAAGTATATTGTTTCTAAATTCCTACGATTTGACATGAAAGAAGGTAAATCGGTGTTAGAACAGACACAAGAATTTAAGCTTATCTTACATTCTCTTCGTGAAGCGGATATGGAATTGCCTGAAAAATTTAAAGTGATGGCGGTCGTAGAAAAATTTCCCAAATCATGGGAAGATTTTGGTATGACTTTAAAACATAAAATGAAAAAGATCACTTGGAAATCTTTGATGCATTCCATTACTGTTGAGGAGGAGCATAAGAAAGCGGGTTATATTGCGCCTGTTGAATTTCAACCGAAGGCTCATGTCATAACTGGGGGAAAGCAAGCATATAATTCTAAAAATAAACAATCACCATCTTTTAAATCCATAAAGGCCAAACTAAAAATTGCAAAGAAACCAAAGGCAAACCGACCATGCTGGAACTGTGGACAGATGGGGCATTGGGCCAAATTGTGTCCTAATAAAAAGGCCAAGGCTCAATCTGGGGGACCTCAAGTCAACATGGTGACTGGAGGGACTAGTTCTAATGGGTACGTTTCTATTAATCCTCAAATTTTCACTATTTATAATTCCAATGAGTGGCTAATAGATAGGGGAGCGAATGTGCATGTATGTGCTGATAAATCGCTCTTTGTTTCTTATCAGCCTGCGGTTGGAAGAACAGTGATGATGGGGAACACAAGTGCTGCAAGTGTGCAAGGAATTGGAAAAGTAGAAATTAAATTTCCTTCGGGAAAAATTCTACCTTTGCATGGGGTGCATCACGTTCCCGAAATTAGAAGGAACATTGTTAGTGGTTCCATTCTCGTTAAGGAGGGTTATGAACTATCTTTTAAATTAAATAAAGTTGTAATTTTACTTGGCGGAACTTTTATTGGCAAGGGTTACTTGTCGGATGGACTTTTTAAGATTGTGGTTGATTATTTTGAATTAAATTATGTATCTGAGAATTGTGATTCTTCTTGTTTATGGCATTGTCGTTTGGGTCACGTTAATTTAGATTCTGTAAAAAGAATGATGAATTTAAATTTAATCCCTAAACACTCTATTGATAAAACTAAGAAATGTTTGGTATGTGCTACTACTATACAAGTAAGAAAACCTTATCATTCAATTGATAGAAATTCAGAATTACTTGATTTAATTCATACCGAAATTTGTGAGTTTAATGGAGTGCTTACTCGTGACCAAAAGAAATACTTTATCACTTTTATTGATGATTATTCTAAATATTGCTATGTGTATCTACTTAAGGGTAAAGATGAAGCTCTTGAAAAATTCTTAATTTTTAAGAATGAAATAGAGAATCAAATTGGCAAGAAAATTAAAAGGTTAAGATCTGATAGGGGAGGAGAGTATACTTCTAATTTAGTTGTACTAGAATGCCAAAAATATGGTATAGTACATGAGGAAACACCTCCTTATTCACCACAATCAAATGGAGTAGCTGAACGGAAAAATAGAACTTTTAAAGATATGATTAACAGTTTATTAGAGAACTCTGGATTACCTAAGTTTATGTGGGGGGAAGCCTTGAATACGGCATGCCATATTCTGAATAGGATTCCCATGAAACATAAAGATAATTGTCCATTTGAACTCTTGACAGGCAGAAAACCAAGTTTGAAATATTTTAAAGTGTGGGGCTGTCTTGCAAAAGTATTAGTCCCTGAACACAAAAGAAAGAAACTTGGGCCTAAAACTGTTGATGCTATTTTTATTGGATATGTTGAACATTCTTATGCATTGAGATTTTTGGTTATTAAATCTGAAATTTCCGGCATAGATGTTAACACTATTGTAGAGTTTCGTGATGCTACTTTCTTTGAAGATGTTTTTCCAATGAAAACAGGTGTGCCCCAAAATACTTCTTTTAAAAATCAAGAAACCACATTTAATTCAATTCCTGATCAAGTGGAAAAGATGACAAATGTGGGGGTAGAATCTGGTAGTTCTAGTCATATTGATTTTGAATCAAATGATATAGATGAGCCTAGAAGAAGCAAACGAGCTAGAATCACTAAAGATTTTGGAAGTGATTTTATCACTTACAATATTGAGGGTGATCCAATTTCCTTTAGAGATGCAATGGCCACGTCTGAGGCCATGTATTGGAAGGATGCCATTAAAAGTGAAATGGACTCTATTGTTCAAAACGGAACATGGGAGCTCGTTGACCTTCCTCCTGGTTGTACCACTATTGGATGTAAATGGATTTTTAAAAAGAAGTTAAAACTAGATGGAACCATTGATAAATATAAGGCCAGATTAGTTGCTAAGGGTTACAAACAAAAAGAAGGTATTGATTTTTTCGATACATATGCTCCGGTTGCAAGAATGACCACAATAAGAATGCTTATAGCAGTGGCATCCGTATATGGTCTTAAAATTCATCAAATGGATGTTAAGACAGTGTTTCTTCATGGTGACCTTGAAGAAGAAATTTATATGGATCAGCCTGAGGGATTTGTGGCAAAAGGCAATGAGAGAAAAGTTTGTAAATTAGTTAAGTCTTTATATGGACTTAAGCAAGCCCCTAAGCAATGGAACGAAAAATTTGATAAAATAATTTCTTCGTTTGGATTTACTCTTATAGATGCTGATCAAAGTGTTTATTATAAATGTAAAGGTGACATAAGTATTATTTTATGCCTATATGTTGATGATATATTATTATTTGGCACTAATGATAATATTATTTTTGAGACTAAGTCATTTTTGAAAACAAAGTTTGAAATGAAGGATATGGGGGTGGCGGAAGTAATTCTTGGGCTAAAGTTGACTAGATCAACCGAAGGCATTTCTATTTCTCAGTCACATTATATTGAAAAATTAATTGAGAAATTTGGTTTTAAAAATAGTAGAATTGCTAAAACACCCTATGATCCTTCAGTAGCTTTGTATAAAAATGAAAGTGGTGTTCCTGTGTCTCAATTAAGATATTCTCAGATGATTGGTAGCTTGGGTTACTTAGCTAACTGTACTAGACCTGATATTGCATTTTCAGTGTCTAAACTTAGTCGGTACACTTGCTGTCCAAACAAAACTCATTGGGAGGCCTTAGATAGAGTATTTAGATACTTGAAAGGAACTATTTCCTTAGGTTTGCATTATGGTAAGTATCCTCCTGTTCTTGAAGGATATAGTGATGCAAGCTGGATTGCTAAGAACTCCTAGAGTTACGGGTGTACCGGCTATGTGTTTACGTTTGGTGGTGGGGCTGTTGCCTGGAAGTCCACTAAACAAACCATACTTTCTCGGTCTACTTTTGAGGCTGAATTATGTGCGTTGGATACTACAGGAATTATGGCTGAATGGTTTAAGGGACTAATGTCCGAGTTACCTATATTCAGCAAGCCAATTCCACCTATTTGTTTGCATTGTGATAGTATGAGTACAATTGCAAAAATTAGGAGTACCAAGTATAATCAAAAGACTAGGAGACACATTCAAGTTAGATTAAAAACTATAAGGAAATTTGTGTCTCAAGGGGTGTTTGCTGTTGATTTTGTTGGATCCAAAGATAATACAGCGGACCCGTTAACAAAAGGACTTGATTTAAATCAAGTGATAAAATCGAGGTTAGGAATGGGACTGAAACCCAATAATTATTCATCTACGGTAGCAACCCAACCTATCTGAATGGAGATCCCATAAAGTAGGTTCAATGTGGTATAAACAAACCGTAGAGTGAATTGTGCATCTCATTAAAATAATTTTATGAGTTCCATTCCTTGAAAAGCCTTAGAGATGCTGAAATTGCTAAGTTAGTAAGAGTTAAAGACTCTGAGTGGGATCGAGCTTTAATAGCAGAGTGTTAGCAATGCACTCTTGGAGATGCCCAACTATGAGAATGTTATTGTGTGGCCGCAATAAGAGAATAAGGGTTAATTCTCGATGACATTCTTGAGACAGGATCAGGACGCACGGCCGCAAAAGCGTCACCCCTATAGATCGTTGCCATTGCCGTTAGTGTGTTGCTTTTACCCCACGCCAACACAATCAAGGTTCGAGTTCAAGAACTCCGTTCACTCAGTTCCTGTGAGGGTTAGGGGTAAGAGCTTAGAAGATGGTTCAAACCGGAAGGTACCATATTTGAAAGCACACTATGTCTTAGAGTCGTGTCTACAACTATGGATTTGTGGGGGATTGTTGGAAATATGATGATAAAAATATAATTTTGAGTGGTCTCATTTTTGGGTCCTGATATGTGTAATATAAATATATGTAGTGAAAGTAGCTTTTTATTATCAAAGTACAACTTTCAAATTTGGATATATTTATCTCAATTGGTGATTAGAATCCATAGTTGTAAAAGTTGTAAAGTGAATAAAATATGATGAATAATTGTCCTAAATACATGGTCTTTTGAGAAGATAGTATGTGATAAGGAATATCATTCAAGTATCATATAAGGTGATTTGAAATATTATTCCATACGCCCAATTCTGAAATGTTTTAGTAGTGTATGGAGAATATCTCAAGATTAAAAGACTATTGAATTATGGACAAGAATTCTGAAATGTTTATTATCTTATAAATGATAATAAACGGCAGCCTTAATGCTGCTTCAATTCGGACGTTTCAAAATTACATTTTGAATGGTTCAAATTAATAAGCTTGGTCAAAGGTTGTTTAAGGCTCCTTAAAAGATGGATCATGGAACAACCGTTGGTTTTCATTTTGATATGTTTATATATACATGTGTTATCATTCTGATTTTTAATGAGGAAGTGAACCCACTGCATGCTCTCTTTTTCCATCTTTACGTACAAAACTCAATCTCCTGGCCTGGGAATCATCAAGTCTTATTTTTCCTCCAAGTGCGTAGACAATCTACTCTCATCCGCACAATTTTGTGTCTTCAGGGAATTTAATTTGTTTGTGTCCGAGAGCAAAAATCCATAGTTACTTTTATTGAGAGTATTCATCTTTCAAAGGCAAAGCGGGCAACGGTCAGAGGTTTCAGTCAAGGTAGCTACGAGTCTGAAACGTGGTAGGATTATCCTGGGAGCGAGCTAGCCAGACCCGTCCGAATAGCTATCGGGATACGGGGGCTATCTTTCTTCAAGGCCAGTCCGTTTTAACGGGCGATCCTGCGATAAGTTCTCTTATCTTTACTCTTTATTCATTTTAATTAATTTGTTCTGATTATTATTATTATTATTATTATTATTATTATTATTATTATTATTATTATTATTTTCTTGCATTTGGCGGTTTGTCTGGTGATTTGATTTAAACTCGGGATTTTTATCTGGTTAAACTCGCATTTCAATATCATTTTCGTCTAACACATAACATATATGCAAAATTGAAAATACTAATTAAATGAGATCATTTTCATTATTGAAACTAAAAGCGATTGAAAAGGAGAACAAAAGAAGAAGAGGAGGAGGAAAGTAGGGTTTCCCTATGCGGCTCCGATGCCCTATCCTATACTTTGCAATTTAACTTTCATGAGGGCAGCTCGTATCAGACTGGCCTGACGGGAACCGCCGTCAGGCTGAGGCCATTTGGGGCCCTTCCCGGTGGAATATTTTGATGAAATTGTTTGAGCATGTTACTCATCAAGTCTAGTTTATCCATACCAAACTTCAGCTAAAAATTCAATCGGAAAGGTAGTCAAAAAATTCCCTACGAAAACTGTGCTATATATATAGCGGTTCCGGTAAGAACGAATCTTAGGAGAGAAATGAGAACGAATCTGGACCGTTGGATTGAATTATGAGGAACTGAATTGTGCATTTGGTGAAACCGAAATGTGCATTAGATAATATTGAAATGTGCAGAATAAAAATTTATACTCACATGTGCATTAGGTGAAACTGAAATGTAAAGAATAAAACGTACTGATGAAAACGGTTAGCAACACAAGAGGGGGGGGGGGGGGGGTGAATTGTGTGTGTGTGTGGAACCGTGACAGTTTTTCGTCAAGTTCTAGTGCGGGGTATAGGGAATTGCGAAATAGTAA